TGTGCATAAAAGGCGCACATATGTAAAAACCAATTCGCGGAAAAGAAATTCAAATCACGAGAAAAAGAAAAAACCCATTCCCCAGCAGGAATAAGAGCATAGGCAAAGCCAGCTCAAATAACAACAGCCAATAAGGAGTCAAAAACTCCATTCCTCCCTAGGGGGCAATTCAAAAAGATCCCCAGAAAACGATCAAATCCCTGGTGGATCACCAAAAAGAGAAAAATCCCCAGCAAGCCTACCAGCAAAAGGTAAAATACAAAATTCATATCCTTAGGGAGTTAATCATCTAGAACACCCAATATGAATATCCCCAGCGAAGTGCAAAGCCTTCACTCCCAAGAAAAGCCTCTGCCGACTCAAAGGCAATAAAAGAGCCAATATCCCCAAGAAACGGGAAATCAACCTATGCAAGAGGTAATACAAGCACAAAGCTTTAAAAAAAAAAGCATCTGCCTACTCAGAGGTATTATCAAGAACAAATATCATCAAGTAGAACATCAAGCTATTCAGAGGCGAAAAAACAACAAAGCCTTCACCACTGTTGAAGCATCTGCCTAATCAAGAGGCACAATCAAACCAAAAATCCCCAATAGATTCCCGCCTAAATAAGAGGCAACCAACAAAGAATCCCCGACAAAGCCGGATGGCTAAACAAGAAAAGCCAAAAACAAGAAATCCCCGGCAAAGCCGGACGGCTAAACGAAAAAAGCCAAAAACAAAGAATCCCCAGTAAAACCGGACGACTAACAAGAAAGGTCAAATCAAACATTCCCCACGGAATGGGCGCATGAACAAAAACAATAAGTCGCCAATATATCTCCAAAACCAGATGACCACAGGATTGACTATCAAAAAGTCATTCTAAAAGACTTGCAGAACGGGGCTTATTAAGAACCTTGCAGAACGGGGTTCGGACCAGGTGGGGGTAGGTACCCATCAGAGTCTTGCAGAACGGGGTTCGGACCAGGTGGGGGTAGGTACCCATCAGAGCCTTGCAAGACGCAGGTTCATACCGGGTGGGGGTAGGTACCCATCAGAGCCTTGCAAGACGCAGGTTCGTACCAGCTGGGGGTAGGTACCCATCAGAGCCTTGCAAGATGCAGGTTCGTACCGGGTGGGGGTAGGTACCCAACAGAGCCTTGCAAGACGCAGGTTCGTACCGGGTGGGGGTAGGTACCCATCAGAGCCTTGCAAGACGCAGGTTCGTACCGGGTGGGGGTAGGTACCCATCAGAGCCTTATAGAATAAGGGTTCGTACCAGGTGAGGGTAGGTACTCACCAAAGCCTTATAAAATAAGGTTTATACCGGGTAGGGGTAGGTACCCATCAGAGCCTTGCAAGACGCAGGTTCGTACCAGGTGGGGGTAGGTACCCATCAGAGCCTTGCAAGACGCAGGTTCGTACCAGGTGGGGGTAGGTACCCATCAGAGCCTTGCAAGACGCAGGTTCGTACCGGGTGGGGGTACGTACCCATCAGAGCCTTGCAAGACGTAGGTTCGTACCAGGTGGGGGTAGGTACCCATCAGAGCCTTATAGAATAGGGTTCGTACCGGGTGGGGGTAGGTACCCATCAGAGCCTTATAGAATAGGGTTCGTACCAGGTGGGGGTAGGTACCCACAAGAGCCTTATAGAATAGGGTTCGTACCAGGTGAGGGTAGGTACTCACCACAACCTTATAGAATAGGGTTCGTACCAGGTGGGGGTAGGTACCCACCAAAGCCTTATAAAATAAGGTTTATAACCAGATAAGGGTAGGTACTCATCAGAATCTAGCAAAAATGCAGATTCGTACCAAGTGGGGGTAGGTACCCACCAAAGCCTTATAAAATAAGGTTTATACCGGATGAGGGTAGGTACTCATCAGAATCTAGCAAAAATGCAGATTCGTACCAGGTGGGGGTAGGTACCCACCAAAGCCTTAAAAATAAGGTTTATACCTGATGAGGGTAGGTACTCATCAGAATCTAGCAAAACGCAGATTCGTACTAGGTGGGGGTAGGTACCCACCAGAGCCTTATAAAATAAGGCTTGTACCGGATGAGGGTAGGTACTCATCAAAACTTAGCAGAATGTATTAGGTGGAGTAAAATACTCACCTAAACATTACAAAAACGGGTTGCAAAGACCTTACTTCTATTGGAGGATAGTTCAGTGTTGAGCACCTCGGAAGTAAGTACCCACAAGAGTTTAGCAAAATGCGAACTCATACCGGGTGAGGGTAGGTACTCACCAAAACCTTGCAAAAACAAGGTTCATATCTAGTGGGGGTAGGTACCCACAAGAGTCTAGAGAAACACAGACTCGTACCGGGTGAGGGTAAGTACTCACCAGAGCCTTATAAAGTAAGGCTCAAACCAGATAGGGGTTGGTACCTATCAAAAATATTTATCATCCGGAGGATCAGCAAAGAAGCATCTGAAGGATAACCGGGCAAAAGGGTTAACTCCTTCCCCTACCAACTAATTTTTTCGTCATGTTAAGCCAACAGATTAGTCAGGCAGGTGAAGGGGGGGCAGCTGTAGACCCCTAATTTTGCCTGGTCTCTCAATAAAGGCTAAAGGAGACTTCCTACAACAAGATAAAGCTCGCCTGACATCTCAATAAAGGCCAAGAAGACTTCCTATATGAAGATAAAGCTTCAATGGGCGTTTATAGGCATCAACCGACGTCCGAATAAAGAAAGGAAAGCTTCTCAGGGGTCCCAGAACACAAAAACTGGCCGAAACAGGTCGAGACGGTCGTTCCAAGGTTGAGACAGCCGTCCCAACCTTCCCTGGCCAAGTGGGACGGCCGTCCCAAATGGGACTGCCAGTCCCAGCTTTTCAGGGGATCCCAGTCTTCATAAAAGTTGTAGTTGGGACGGCCGTCCCAACCCAGACGGTCGTCCCAACCCAGACGACCATCCCAAATGTGCAGGCAGCGAAAACTATAAATAGGAGGCTCATTTGCCACTATTTCACACACCAGACAACTCCCAGTACTTGTCTATTCTCTTCCCTCTTCGAATGAACTCTCTGATTGCCTTGATAAGGTAACAATCAGTTAAGGAATCATATTCCAGCATTCGATTCTTCTGTAAAATTGAGTCAAGTCGACCTTGTATTTGGAGAGGAGAGTCTTTGTAGAGCGAAGGATTGCCAAAACGCATCCTCACGATTAAAGATTCGTAATACAAAGCTTGCTACGGAGGTTCTGTTCAATTCTCTTCTCTTTTACTGCTTTATTTATTGCTTTCTGTATGCAATAAGAAATAAAGTCATGTAGATAGCCATTTTTAACATTATGCAAGAAAATAGGGTAATCGCGTAATTTCTCATAATCATCACTTAAATTAATTAATCCGTCATAGGGAACCTGAAAGGGGTGTTGTGGGGTGCTAACACCTTGCCCACACGTAGCTAATTCCCTTACCTAACTCTGGTTATAATGGCCAAGTTTGGTTTTTATTAAAATCAACGCCTTTTTATCCTTTTCCAATGTTTATGGTCAAAACATTGGTGGCGACTCCAAAAGAACCCCTTTTCGAAAACCTTGCTTTTATTAGAGTATAGTTCAGTTGTTGAGCACCTCGGAAGCAATGATCATATTTTAAACAAAAAACGCGAGTCTAAACCATCTTCTCGCGACCGCTCGCATAAACGTTTGAGATGTCCCTGGACGTCGGAACGGACGGCGGTGACACTCACCAGGACCAGCACCAGCATAAGCACCACGATCAACACCATGGCACCAGGACCGCGACCGGGACCAGCACCACAGCGCACCAAGACCAGCACCACCAAAACTAACCGTGGCACCATGGAGCAGCCAAAGCTGACAGAGCCAGTCACCACCAAACTGACCG